AAGCTTAGTATCCTTTTTAGGGGCTTATAATTTCTCACCATATTTATACTAGGCTAATTCATAAACTTAAAAATTATTCTAACAGTTATACTAGGCTAATTTATAAACTTAAAAATTATTCTAACGATGTACACACATAAAATTAAGATAGAAGCAAGGTAAAACAAATCAGAAATGGTGCAAATCAGAATACAGTCTTGTGTACAGTTAAAAAAATTTTTGACAGTTAAAATACATTTTATAGTTGTTCCACTTAATAAATATGAACTGCTATTTAAGAAAAGACAATTAGGTATTTATAAGCTATTTCATATACCATTTATAAGAAGAAATGACAATGATCAGGAATTACCCCTGTGATCAATAATTACCCCATCTGTAGGGGGCAACATTTGATATAGTTTCCTATAATCAATTATAATGTTTACAATAGATGTGAAACAAATAAACAAAAGTTTACACCACTTTTATATCAAAGAAAACTAAAGTGACGCAAAATATTTATTATTAAGAGAAGGAGGGGGATCTTTGCAAAAATGTGCACATTTTGAAACTCATCTTTGAAATGGAAAATACAGAAAGCAGTTTAAAAGATACTTATTTTGTTAGATTAAACAAAAAATTATTATTAAGTAAATGTAGTTATACTTTAGTAACTTATTATTAAGTAATTATTATTAAGTAAATGTAGTTATACTTAGTTTATTAAAATGTCTTAAATTTAAAAAAGAAATTTTTTTTAAAAATAAAACTTAGGTGATCATTATTTACCCCAAAAACAGAGTGATCGTGAATTATCCTGTGTCATCCTATTTTTTTAAAAATTGCATTATTCTTCCTTTAGCAAAAACATAATTTATCAGTATTAAAAGCACATTTATTCGTATTTAAAGGACAGAGTATTCACTTTTGCTGTTCATTGAATTGTCGAGCCCCAAAATCTATTAATATTTTCCTTGTATTATTTTTCTTCAGTAAGTTAAAGCAAATTGTATAAAAAGTATCAAATATTTATTAATATGTGCAATGGTTACAAGGTTTCGGACACTTTAAGACAGTTTTCAGTTTAGGACAGTAAAACCCATGTGTCCTGTACAAAACAAGTTTAGGATGTACAAAAGCCCAACCCTGAATAGAAGTAGCCATTAAAAAACATAAATTTGTTAAAACATAAACGCCAATCGGTTTTATCTACACTAGGGATAAAAAATATTTGCGTAAAAAGTTTTAAATGAGCTTTAAACCTTGAAAGAGACATAAAAATGCCAAGGTTTGTCAATATAGTAAATGATAGGGATGTTTTCAGCAAAAGTTTAAAATATTTTTAAAGAATATTTAACAAAAATAAAATATTTATTATAGGAAGTTTACCTAAAACTTGTTTAAAAAAGATTAAATCAAAGTTGATATATTAGGTGGAAAAAATATTGGTAAACTGCCTCAGCAGAAATTAACTGGTGACAGACAAAATACAGAAATCAGATGATTTTAAAGGCATATTAATATAATATGATGAGAGTTTATTAGTATGATTTATTATAAAAAAATTTTAAGGGCTGGATAATTCTTAAAATCAAAACTTGCAAACATGCACTTTGTGAAAAAAAACTATTCAAGATACAATAAAATTTAAAACATTTTAAATTAAGAATTATCAGAAATTAATCCTAAATGGGGAACACCATGGTTTAAGATTCATAAAAAACAAAATTAGTGATTTTTTGTAAAAAAAATGATAAAAAAAATTCTTATTTGATTTAGATCAGATTTTTTTCTTCAATTTACAGCAAAATAAATTTTATAAAAATAATTACAATGGAAATAGTCTTATCTTAGAAATTTCAAACAATGTTTCTGTATTAGTCACTGTTTGATATAAGCAAAAATATGATTCAATGCATTTTACGTAGAAAACAAAATTAATTTTATTAAAGTTAAAATTATTAGAGAAAAAAAATTTGATTTGTGTTTTTAGCAGTTCTAAATACACAAATCTATTTCTATTTTTGATTTATATTAAACTTAACCAATTCATATTTAATAATTGCATAAATCTCAATCAAATTTAATAATTACATAATCGCATGTCATCTCAAAATTGCTGCAATTTATTTTACAATAAGAATCCATTGTAATTCTACTAATTAAATCTTATAAACAAAGCAATATATAAGCATCAAATTTTAAAATTATGAACATCAGCAAATATTATATAAATACAAATTGTAAAGATCTTGTATGAAAATATTTAGTCCAGTTGTTGGAAATAAGTAACTAATAAGCTGAGATACCTAATCCATCATTCCTAATCCATCATAATATTGTAACTCAAGTTATCCATATAACTTTTAGTTGAACATTAAAAATAATCATGCTAATATAGCTATTTTTATTAATGTATGCATACTTTGTTAGAAAATATCAGGACATTTGGGTTCATTTTTTTATTATGGACTGTGGCGAAAACTGCAATAATCACAAGGATCTAAACGGATTTGATTATCGATTATGTCAACCTTCACCTATCAAAAGGTACCTCATGATAGAATCAAGTTAACATGTCTTATATACTAGGGAATTGGTATTTAATAAATTTATAGTGGTAGTTATGCCTCATTACTCGCCTTCCAGAATTTTATCTGTGATAGAATTCGATGAACGAATACCACTAGTTGATTTATACTGAATTTTCTATTGATATAATTTTTGCTTATTATATCTTTTTCATTTTTTGTTTATAGCATTGAGCTCATTATTATTATTTTTTTCCTCAACATTGTTTATTGATTGGGAGACTTTGTTTACTTTACCCGATTTACTTCTTTTGAGTAGTATACTTTTAAGCAAATCAACTGCTTAATATGGACCATCCATCGATGTTGACGAGTTCATATCACGTCCGCAGGTCACCATTGAGGAAAATTAACTATAGACCATATCAATCTTCATCTATCAAAAGGTACCTTACGATAGAATCAAGTTAACATGTCTTATCTTACATAGTAAGGAATTGGTATTCAATATTTATAGTGGTAGTTATGCCACAGAGCCAAATGGATTTTAAACAGGAAAATTTAAAAAATAAAACAAAAGTAGAGGTTTGCTCAAAGGTGGCTACCACTTATACTTTTCGAACTAGTCCCATTCCGTGATGTTTAGTTCTCGCTGCCCAGAAGTTGCTAAGACTTGCAGATTCTTCTGCAAGTATTTATGGCCTTAAATACTTGACATATATCATTCTTATTCTTTATTCATCAGTATGTTTCTATGTATTGATACAGCAGATTTGCTACAGACTTCAAAATTTGCATTTTTTTCTCGATAACGATAAGATACGTTTCGTACTTTCATAAACAGTAAAAGCTCCAAATTAAAGTGCCCTATCCAAGGGGCAACCTTTTCAACGCTCCAATCATTGATTTCCATCTCATAATCGTGTAACAAAACTAAACTGATATTTATGAAATTTTTAAAATCAATACCTCATATAACATAGCAGATTATTAGAACAATAAGATTATGTTGATGACGTATCGAGAAATTTAGATTCTCAATTACACTGGAGAAGAAAGACAAAAAAATATTCCCTTAATCTTCGATGAAAGGATAGTTATGGCTTTTATAAAACAACAAATGTTATGCAATAAAATAAAAATAATTAAAAGTTGGTTGTCAAAGCAACAACTTTATTCAATGAGATTGCAAAAGCATTAACTTCCAAATAGTCGTTTGCAGGTTATTGGGACAAATTAAAATCTTAAGATACCTTTAAAAGGACAGCCATTTCAAGAGAGTGTAGCTATATTTCTAATTTATTTATGAAATACATCATAAATCAAACAAAATTCTAAAATAAAACATGTTTTTTCAATAACAAGTAAACTTAGCTTTATAAAAGTAAAAGTAGAAGTTGTAGCAGTATGAAGAGTGGTTTAAACATCTGCTTATAACCTTTAATCTTAATAAAAAATCTGTTTGCATTTCATATTTAAGCTAGTCTTAAACTGCACAAAATCAAACAGTCGGAAACGTATGATTCGAAGCCCTAGTCAAAAAAGTAATTAACATCAACTTGAAAAATAAGGAAAAATCTGTGGCGTGCGAAGGAAAATGCTCTAATATCGTTAAAATTAGACGTTTATATTTAAATGCTTAAAGTATAAAAATTTGGAGTAAAATGAATATTTCAGACAGTGAATCAGCTCGTGACATCTTATACCTGAATTTTAATCAGATAGCAACGTATGTTTTGTTTCACTTATTGACATATATTGTCATTTTCATTTAATGTTACATTAGTAACATTTTGACAGACTTATCCAATCATTAATTAACTACTATTTGTCGAGATATGTGCACGTATTATGCAGCAATCTATTGCCGTCATTGTATATATCTAAACTTAGATTCCTCCTAGTTTGATCTTAGTTTCATGCTGAGGTTATTAATTGTAAAATTCGTAGTATCTGATATAAAACATTGTTAGGTAATGGAATACATTACAAAAGGGTGCTTCCTGTATTTTTGTCGCCAACATCGAATCCAAATATTACGAATTTTTGTGCTATTTATAATTTTTTTTTTTAAAAACTATTAAGGAACTGGACTAAATATTTTAGCATTGAATTAAAAATATTCAATTTCATATTGAAGTGGAAATTGAAGAGTTGTAATTTTGAATGTTATATTTGTGAATTAAATTGCACAGGGATTGAATTTAACAATGATTCAAGACCACTTAATCCATCAGGGACAACCACAAAATAATTTTACTTAGTATTAATCAGAGTTTAGGACAGAATGGTTAATTAGGGCAAGGTTTAGGACAGAATAGATTAATCCATGGTTTAAACCGTCCTGTCCAAAAAAACCTTTTGTTCAAATTATGTCACAATTTTAATAAAAATGTGAAAAATAAAAGTTTAATTTTTTAAACAAGGAAAAAAATGAAGACAAGTTCATGTTTTATTAAAAAAGTTTATTAATATTTTTAATATTGCATTATTCATCCTTATGCAAAAGCATAATTATAAGCAGTATTTAAAGGATAAGGTATTCACTTTTATTATTTGGTGAATTGTGAAGCTTCAAAAGTTATTTAAAAAATCTTTTCCTAATATATTACATTATATTATTTTCCGTTAGTAATTTAAAGTAAACTAAAGTAAAAGTATCGAATATTTATTTTTAACTATTATGTGTACAATGGTGACACATGTAAAATTTTTACCTTTTAAAAATGTGCAAGGTTTTGGACACTTTAGGACAGTTTTAAGTAGTTTATGGCAGTAAAACACATGTGTCCTGTTCAAAACCAGTTTAGGACGTCCAAAACCCCAACCCTGGTCTATTAGCTATTCACAAAATAGTTAATTGAGATTACACATGATTCTTCAATTAATTTCACTTTAAAAATATTTTTTTCTGTTATAATGTTTAACCAATGTTTAATATTGTACCTAACAATTAACCCGTTTAAAGCCTATAAAAATTCTGTTTTCCATTTTTCTAATTAATTGACAATATAAAAAGTATATTTTCTATGTTAATTAATTACTCCATTTTTGATTTTATTAATATCTAAATGAAACAAGCGAAGATACTACAGACTAGTGAAATCTTTTAGTTATTAGTTCCTTTGACTTGAGACTTAATTTAGGAATTTCTACCCATATGCCATATTTGTGTTGTTATTTTCCAGATTGCAGCCTACCCCCATATTTTGAAAGTCCCTTTATGGTTAGACCTTCAAATCAATTTTTAAAAAAAAATTTTTTTATTGATAGTGCCCTACCAACCAGACTATACTGGCTGTTAATCATTGGAGTTTGTGAAAATCCAATCATTAGATCAAAAGTTAGGGTGTTTGTTCTAATTTTGCGTGCTGTACGTACAGCTATATTTTGAAGAAATGCATAGAGCAAGGATGTGACTCTTCCGCAAATTCGCGGATTTCCGTTTTTTTTCCAGATTTTCCCGCTAATTTCCGCAGAAATTTTTTTTTGCACAAGTTAAAATATTTTATGAGGAATTAAATTTTCCGCGAAGCGAAAGTATTGAAGTCCTCATTCCTCCCTCAAACATTGATTTTCGTATTTACCTGATTTAAAAGTTAAACGTTGCGATTCTTAACCAGGCGATTTAAATGTCGTACATTGCGATTCTTATTTACGAGATTTAAAAATCCATTATCGCGATTTGTAATTACGCGCTTTTAAAACCCTATGTAGCGATTCGTATTCACGCGAGCTTAAAATCCAATGTCATGATTCGTTTTTGTGGTTGTAATATCAAACATCGATTTTCCTATTTAAGTGTGCTTTAAAAATTAGACAGTGGGATTGGTATTCGCGCTGTTTTAAAATTACGCAGCGTGATTCGTATTTACGTGATCTAAAAATTACGCATCATGATTTGTATTTTCGCATTTTTTAAATTCGATATAGAGTTTCATATTCACATGATTTAAAAGCCTCATTTGGGGATTCATATTCTCTTAATTTAAAATCATGCATGTAATTCATATTTATATATTGATGCAATTTTAAAATTAATCATCGGGATTTATAATCACATGGTTTACAAGTTTAAAAATTGCACTTATTTGTCAAATTTTTGAATATATATATATATATATACATACATACATATACATATATATATATATAAATGTATTCATTCTGATAGAGGAATCAAATTTTTTTCAAGGCATGAAAAGAAATTTGATATTGAAGCTCAACTTAATGAAAGGCTGACTGTATCCTAGATATTTATTCTTTGTAATATTGTGATTTTCTTTAATTTTTAGTGCTCTTTCTGTTGGAACTAAGAATGGATACATGTTGTATGATTTAAACCAAGTTTATGAATGCGTTCCCACCTATGACACAAGTAAGCATCATATTTCTTCATGCATAGTGCCCCCGTGGCAGAACTGTGGCGACATTGTCGCAGAATGTTACAGTTTTTGTAGAAAGATTTTAATCCTATTTGTGTGATTTTGTAGTCGATCTTAATTTTGGAATTACGATTTAACAATTTAGATTTTATGATTTTTAATTTATGTACAAATTTTAATTTATTGTCGTATAATTTATTTATGAATTTTAAATTTTGTAATAATTTACAAAATTAGAAGGGGGAAATAATTAGGGCATTTTTCGACCTACAAAATGCGAGAAATGCCTTTTTAATATTAGAATTTTAAAAAATATTACTTTTACAATAAAATTTTTTTATACGTTTTTATTCTATACTTTCTTCCGTAAACACAATGTTTCTGTTACTTTAAATTAGCAATTGTTATAATTAAAAGTATCTTAAAGAAAAATATGTTATTAATGCTAGGGAAGTTTGTCGCAGAAATCCCGAAAAAATTCTGTCACAGGACATAGTGCATTACACCCTGAAATCCGCTACAGTTGGATTATTTTATAGTTCATTGAGCAATAATTTTCTTAAAATTTATTTATTATACAATCTGCTATATTTCTTTTTTTTTTTCCCCCATTGAGCTTGCTGGTTGCTATGCTTTTACTACATGATAAGTAGTTAATTACTTATCTTATACAGTAGGGAACCGATTATCCGGAATGATCGGGGCCATCGCTATTCCGGATAACTGATTTTTCCGGTTTTCTGAATCGCTACAAAAAGACATTTTTTTTATTGTTAAACCCAACTAAAAGGAAAATTTTTGGAAATAATCTTTAAAAGAAGAAAAAACGGTGAAGTAATACACTAATGATTATTTCCAAAATGATGGTAAGATAAACACCTTTCAAAAAAGAAAGAAAAATCCTAAAATCTTATGAGGGAATTTTTTTTTTTTTTTAAATGGCGGGAAAATGTATCGAATTTAGATCCGGTTTTTAGGTTTTCTGATTTCCGAGTAATGAGTTCTGTACTGTACTATCGATCAATTATCAATTTTTTAAAATTATTACTTCAATATTTTTTTTGTTTTTGTTTATCCTTTCTTATGCTTTAATGAGTGCCATAAATATAGTTTCAAGACACCATCTTTAGGTCAGGTCTGAATAAAAAGTTGTATTTCTTATTCAAATTATATCTTAATTATGTATACAAATAATTTAAATATTAGCTGAAAGCATTTAGTGGTTAAATAACACAAGCCTGCGAAATTGAAGTTTCTGAAAAATACAAGAGAAGTTATTGGTGATTTGTATGTTATTTGATGTGCTGATTTCGAAAATGATCTTCATTTTCCCCAATCACTTCAGGATTTTTTGTAAAATCGATATTAATGTTTTTACTAAAATCCTATTTGGAGAGGAATTCTCTCAAACAATTTTTCATGTACTATCTGGTAACTGTCGTCTTCGTTGAAACAACAGACCAAGTTCTCCTCTTCATCAAAGTACTTAACAAATTTCTTTTCTAGATTTCCTGACTAATAAAAAGATGTTCCTTTGGCTAATAGGTTTTTTTCTTTGAGTCTGGAGCCTAACAATTCAGCTGCCTTTTTCAACTGGCTACAGATGGCTTATATTCAATATCGGAGCCTTGAACTTCTGGATGTTTCTAGTCTGAAGACTCTGAAGAGATGATCCGCAATTCAGTTGGAGGCACAGGCACATCAGGTCCATGAGGAACGGGCCGTATGGCAGATGGAATGTTATCAGGATAAGATATTAGCCTTTGATTATTTTCGGTTATACCCACGAATATGGCAGGAACAAAAATAATCATCAAAGTTGTTTTTGGGCAATTGTAAAGCAGTCTTCTTTCCTTGGTGTCATAAGCGTAGATCATTGAGACACTGCACACAAGCTTTACGAGGAGCCCACGATTTGTCCTGGTCTCAGAGTTTCATGCCAAAATATGCAAGATAAAGTTGTCTGACATAGTCTGTAAAGCTTCTCGTGCAGTTTTTGACAACACTATTCACCACATATATAACAAAAGGTATCTGATAAATTTTCACAATGTCTGGAACTCAAAGCCCTGTTTCACGAAAAGACCAAGAATGTGTGGTATTGACCATTAAATTGTCTTACTTTAAAGTGCTCATCTTTGCGCAGGTCATCGGGCTACCAAAGCAGGGGGGCCATCCTTTCTGAGGAGGATTAAATTTGTAAAAACATGTCTTTGAATCATCCTCAGGTATGTCTCCTCCCAGATCATCCCAAACAGCCCAAAGTGCGCAAGTCTAGTGTGACGTGAACTACTATTGCTCGATCACATTTATAAATAGCAATTCTTCTATATTTTATTTAAAAATATTAGAACTGGAATTTATAGTTGGCATCTCTTTCATTTGTAAATATTTTTTTTCTGGTAGAATAATAAATGTGATTAGGGATATATAAATAGTTATTCATTTAAATTACACCGCATATAATTTATTTAGAATTTCATGTTTCGAAGATATCGGTGATTTAAGTTTACAATGACATTAATTTTTTGAAATGCGTCGTTAATGACTTTACTCTAATCATTTTCCGGAATTTTGAGTTAGGCTCACAATTACACCTGGAAACAGGGAAATTAAAATTTTTGAGGAATGTTTAGGATTTCATGCAAAAGTTGTCATTTTCACCTTCTGTTTGCATTAAATTGAAATGTTAATTTCATAAAATTTGTCTTCTATAATAATTTTTTTTTACTAGATTTGACACCCGCTAAAGGTCAGGTGACTGATGTGTGCATTATAGAGAGAAATTTCCTCACAAGTTTGATTGCCTATGTAACATTAAATTCCCCCCGAAGTCTTATACTCTACAATTACAATAAAGGAACTATCCTCATAGACAGACTGTTTCCTAATACAGTTCTATCTGTCAAGCTGAATAGGAAGGTGAGAATGTCAGGTTTTATAAATGTTTTTAAAAGCAAAATATAGTGAAACCTCGGTAAAGCAGGCACTGGAAAGGAATTAGGACCCTGTAGCCTGTAGTGTGCCTACCACTACAAAAATACAATTCCAATTCACTTGAATATGAGACATGTTTACTCGATTCTATGTTGGGGTACCTTTTCATAGATAATGGTCGACATTGTCGATAACAACTCTCCCCACAGGCCCATTCAAATAACATCTAAGGGCGGAAGGAAATTGGCTTATTTTTCTGACAAGGAAGGAGGGTTATGAGCATATTACACATTAATATGAGCAAATTATAGATTAATATATGAGTTATTACGTATTAAGATGTGTTGATGATAAATACATTTTCTATGATTCATTTTCTTTTTGGCCATTAAAAACGTCAAGAACTTTATCGGTTACCTTGTATTCTAATATTGTGGTATTTATAAATTAATTTAAGAACAGTATAAGAAGTTGAAGGTTGGACTGAAGAAAATTATAAAAAGTAGTTTAGAATAATAAATTGGCTTACATAAACATGAAGAGATATCTCTTAATAATTTCCGATGTTTGAAATAGGCCAATTAATTATTCTAAACCATTTTTTCATTTTTTTTCTTTCATTTTAAATTTTTTTTAATTTTATAATATGATTGTGAATTGAATCATTTCCTAACATTAGTTAAGTAGAGACTGCATTAAGAAAGTAGCTTGTAATCTCTGCATTTAAAGTAAACTAGTTGTATTCGTGTTTAACTACATGGTTAAATTCGTGGTTGTAATAAAGTACTTGTAGTTTACTACAAAAAAATTTAATTTTTCAAATCACTGGTTTGAGTATTTCTTCTTAGGTACAATTTTTTTTCCTTCCTATTTTAATAATACTTTCTTTAATATGAACCTATGATACTAATAGTTTGTGTAAGCATAACTTGGCTCTTTGGAACTGTTTGGAAGCTATTTCTTTTCTCTATTTCAAAGAACTAGGGGGCATTCTTTTTAGTTTTTGCTCATCCTTATCTGGTAAAAGAACTTTTTAGACTTTAAAAATTTATAATTCTACTGCATTTTATTCATTTATTTACGTTGACAAACCATCAAAATGGGAAATATTTGAAATTTAATTTATAACACAAAAAAATTATTTAAATTTTTTTTTTAAAAAAAAAGGAGACATTGATTACATTATTAGATTTGAAGTATGAAGTTTTCAAAATTCTCTTGTCTAGTTTTTGATAGACTGTGTTATGCTGTGGGGGAAAGAGAAAAAAAACTTCCACTTGAGCACTAAATAACTTCAAAATTACTGTCCACACTAATTTCATTTTGAAAAATGTGCTCGTTAACTAACCTAAAACCAACTTGCTGAGTTTGCTAAATTGATTGCAAAATTATTTAATTTTTGATTACGGCTGGTACAACAAGTGAACCAAAAATGACTGGCTTCATAGGTAAGTGCTGTAAGTGAAGAGCTAAATTAATTGATTTCTTGGCCTATTTCTTTTTATTTTTATAACCATCATTGAACAACCAACTTATTTTTGGGAACTGTATTGAACTATCAACTATTTATGTAGTCTTTAGAGATAAGACAAAATAAGCCCAGACTGGGACATAAGATTCCGGCTTGTTTACTGAAAATTTTTCTGGTGAGCTTGGACTCATGATATAATTTCACATTCAATTATAGATTTTTCTTTTTTCTGTATTTTTTTTTCTTCTCACAGTTAGTGATATAAAAGGTTTTAATGACTAATTCACTCGATGAAACATCAAAGTGGCAAGTGATTAGACTTTGAGTAGCAAGGCTGAAAAATTTAGCTTTCATCCTACATATATATCTCGAGCTCTAAGTAACGCTATTGATCTGGGGGTTTGGCAGGGTCGGACCTTCAAAAAAGCTCTAACTTATCTCTAGTAGCCTTGTTATTTTGCACTCAACTCAGAAAACAAGAGAACTCCTATATTAAGCATTAGAACAAAGTAAGCTTTATGGAGGAGTTTACTTATTCGCATTATATATGGAGAGAAGAACTATAAAAACCACCCACGGTCCGAAGGCAAGGGGATTATAACTCCTGATGCGTCTGCCACTGGGGATAATGCTATGGTCATTGTGAACGGTCAGCAGAATTCATATTGGCCATCATTAATGGAATTCAAATTTGGGAGATGAGCATTCTATCCCAAAAGCTATTGCAACTATTGGCGTATTTAAATTCAAGTTTCGACAATTATTAATACAAAATAGATAAAAGTAAAGCTCCAAATGAGATCGGTCAACCGTTTCATAATGGGGAGGTGACCCTAGCACAAGGTTGCCGCTCCACAGGGAAAATCTGGAAAATACCGGGAATTTAAAAAATCACCTAAAATAACAAGAAAAATGCTGGGAATTTTGATTTTTTTTCTTTACAAACTGGGAAAATGCATGGAATTTTGTTTCTTATTTTTATCTTTTAAAAAATGATGACCACTCAAAGAGTGATCTATGGGATATTTAACCATGATATTTCAGCTATACTGAACTATTGCATTATTTAAATATGTTCAGCTGTTTTTCCAGCAATTAAACTAATAAATATAGTTAGCCCACTATATCTCACACAAGAGCACAGTAATTGGTGTTTCCTCTTAATATATTGTGTATACTATAAATAGGGAAAACACAGTTAATTTTTTTTCCTGATTTGAGTTGACCACAAAATTTCCGATTATGGCTGACCATGCAATTCTCAATTACTTATCTTATTACGTATCTTAACTTACTTTCATGTTTGCATGTGGAGTTGAAAAGATTATTATGTTTTCTATTTATTTCACAACAAAATTCTTAAAATAATCTTAATGTCTTCCAGAATGTTGTTGTGTGCCTAGAAGACAGTATATTTATACTAGATGTTATGAACTTGAAAGAGGACAATATGCATGCAATTACAGGCACTGCAACCAATGTAAAAGGTTTGATTGCCCTCACCTATGGTTATGGTAATTCATTATTGGCATATCCAGCTAGCTCTGTGAAAGGGGATGTGCAAATATTTGATGCCACATCTAAGGTAAGATTTTTATGTACTATAATAATGCAGCATTATTTGCACAGCATGGGAATGCTTACTAAATTTGAAGAGAGTTGTAAAAAAAATATATTTGCTAAGTATGTAATTTGCACTTTTAAATTAGGAAGTAAGTTTTAAAAAAAAAATGACATTTAATTAAGTTAATCTGTATTGAGAAAAAAAAAGAGATTAAAAAAAATAATAAGACTTTTTATTAAAATATTTCTAATTTATACAGGGTATCCGCTCACCTGGAAAGTAGTGAAAAATCATGGATAGTCATGAATTTCGGTATAGAACAAAATTTTTCATGAAACGTCATGATTTTAACTATTTTTTAAAAAAAATCATGAAAAGTTATGGATTTAGGTAGCCAAAAAATCTAATTTTTAAAANCCCTTCCCCAATTTCACAGATTTCCTATGCTCCAAATATCTGAATTTGTAACAAAATCCCCACTCACAGTCAGATTTTATTAAAATATAAAATGTTTTTATCATGTTCCTTAAAAATTATGGCTAGTTGAAGCAAGCCAGTCATTGGCGAAAGTTTTTATTCCAAAATGAGATCAGAAAAATCAGGAGTATTTCTTTCCTTTCCGATAAACAAGAAAAGTATCTTTAGAATGTAATTCTGCAGAAAAATTAATTGCTTTTGTATTTTTTTTCGGCTATTTTATTGCTTCAACTCATTCTTTATTCTGTTTTTTAAATTTAAAATCTATAAATATAAAGGTGCAGAGTATAACAGTTTTGGTTATATCTATCATTTCAAGATTGTTATTATAATGCTTTCTTAAATTTATTGTTGTGTTTTTGTTGGAGAAAATTGTAACTCCGTTAAGTCATGAAAAATTCTTGGAATTAATCATGGAGAATCATGAATTTGAAAATCTGAAATGTAGCAGATACCCTGTTTATAGTTATGAGTTTTAGAATATTATTTTCACAATAATAATAAAAACTTTTTTATGTGAGTCTTTCAGTAGAAAAAAAATTACAGTAATTTTCTCTTTTTAAATTTACTATTGTAATATAGTTTTTAAATTATCTAAAATTCCTTGTTACTGGAATATTTTAAATAAGTTGCTAATTGTGTGTTGATAAATTTTATCAACTGACAATCAGTAACTTCTGTAACCAATCAGTAACCGATTATCCAAACTGCTCGGGACCGAACGTGGTGCGGATAATGAAAAGTTCGGATCATTGGAAAGTTGTTTAAAATCTAGTTTAAATGATTATTATTTATGCACTAACTTCCCTTCACACTTTTTCTAGGCTTAGGATTGGTAGTACTATCTAAAATAGCTNTAATTATTGTTTTATATATATATATCTATACAGTAGAGTGCCGATTATCCGAACTGCTCGGGAACGAACGTGGTGCGGATAATGAAAAGTTCGGATCATTGGAAAGTTGTTTAAAATCTAGTTTAAATGATTATTATTTATGCACTAACTTCCCTTCACACTTTTTCTAGGCTTAGGATTGGTAGTACTATCTAAAATAGCTCTGGCGTGTTTAAAATTTTTTTTTCCTATTTTTAAATATTTTTTCATTTATTTTTTTAAACTTTTTTTTCATTTTGAATTATTTTCATCATATTTCAGCTTTTTATAATTTTTTTTTTAATCAATTACGGATTTTACAACATTTTTCTTTATGTTCCATTGCAAAAGATCTCCAGCAAAGACTTTTGTTTCAAAGAAGATGCTTTTTTGAGCAACCATATCCCTTATTCTTTTTAAATAAATCAACTGAACTGGATCAACATCATTTTGACGTTTTAACCTATTCATTGCAATATCTAATGAATTGCATGCTTCTATATGAGAAGGTCCACTATCTTGAATTTGATCGCCTACTTCTTCCTCTTCGTCTGTGGAGTTCCGATTTTCATTCAAAATTTCAGCAACAATTTCATAATCATTTAAAATTTGAAATCCTGGATTGTTTTCTGTGTCTCGACACCAGTGTTCTATTTCTTCTGCTGTATAACCTGGCATCTTTTCATCGGGAAGATCTACTAGTTCTAAAACTTCAGTTTTGTTTATTTTTTTGTTAAGACTCCAAGATTTCTGCTTCCAGGCACTCTAATCACTAATCATTAACCATAAGTGACATATACTCCTGGATCAGTACCCTCCTGGAAACTCCTGGATCAGTACCCCCAGAGATATTGATTTATTATGGGAGCAGAGAGAACTGTACGACTCAACAGATTTAACAAGCACCAATCACCATTTACTACATGGGGAGTCTTTGGCCGGCGGGGATCGAACCCACAAGCTCTTGGGCCCAGTGCCCTAACAACCAGGCTGTCCCGGCTTCCTCCCCAGGGTGCGTAGCGTTTGTAAAAAGTACTTAAAAGTGCTTTTTTGGGGATTTCATTTTTAAAAGCTTTTAAAAGTGCTTTTTCAGCTGGTGTTTTTAAAAAGTGCTTTTTTCCATAAAATTTTTTTTTTCTTCAGTGATATCTGGTGGATCCCATGCATTTCACGAAAAATGGGGTGTTTGCTACGTAATCATTCACGCGGACTTCATGTCGTACCCACGTTATGACTTGCGCATGCGCGCACACTTGAAACCGAAACCCGAGTGCTCCAATTCGGATAGAGAATATCAGATCCTACTGTGGAAACAACAT